ATTTTTTTGAATATTTCGAATTATAACATTTTTACATTCAAATGTTATAAATGTTTCGCATGGATGTATTTTACATTGAAATGTTTTTAATATTTCAAATGAACGTATTTTTACATTAAATTAATTTTTAAAAATTTCTCATGAATGTATTCTTTCATTAAAATAATTAAAATATTTTGTATGAATGTATTTTTACATTAAAGGTTTTTAAATATTTCGCATGAATGTATTCTTACAATAAAATGTTTTAAATATTTCGAATGTACGTATTTTTACATTAAATTAAAAACGAAATTTCGCATGAATGTATTCTTACACTAAAATAATTAATTTTTTTTTGTATGAATGAATTTTTACATCAAATGTTTTTGAATATTTCGAATTATAACATTTTTACATTCAATTGTTATAAATGTTTCGCATGGATGTATTTTTACATTGAAATGTTTTTAATATTTCAAATGAACGTATTTTTACATTAAATTAATTTTTTAAAATTTCTCATGAATGTATTCTTTCATTAAAATAATTAAAATATTTTGTATGAATGTATTTTTACATTAAAGGTTTTTAAATATTGCGCATGAATGTATTCTTACATTAAAATGTTTTAAATATTTCGCATGAATGTATTTTTACATTTAATTTTTAAAAATATTTCACATGAATGTATTCCTACATTAAATTTTTTATATATTTCGCATGAATGTATTTTTACATTAAAGGTTTTTAAATATTTCGCATGAATATTTTCTTACATTCAGATGTCTGTTTTAGTTACCCAAGGAAATCAAACATTCCCTTCTAACAACCCAAAAAATTACGTTCCCATATAATGTATAGAGCCTACATCTTGAAGTGACTGCCATTAAATCAAAATACTTCAGGCTGTGCTACAGCGTACATCAACGGGAATTCAACATTTTTAACAAACTGCTGTCTACTTTTAGCAATCATGTTAAAACTTTAATTTCCGTTGAGTGGTTTCATCAGAAGCCAACAGTTTCCATAACTGTATTGGAGCTATTGACCTCAAGTACACGTCATGCCCATCAAGATATGTCTAGTCGGTATCGTCCATGGCAATAGAAGGTTCAAGTATTTTATTTATATACTTGAATTCGATCTTTGAACATAAGCAAGAGGACGCCATTGACAAGAGAGTTTGTTTCAAGCACGAAATAATTTAGCTTGGACGAGGCAGACTAAGGTGGGCAGCTCTTGAAATCTTGTGGCTGTAGACAAACAAAAAACCTTTCAATTGTGGAGTTTATTCGAGTTTCTCCAGTTTTTTAACAAATAAAGAAATGCACATTGATTGTTTATAAACATAAAATGTAAAACGTCTTCAGTAAAAAAAGTGAGTAAAGTTTCCTTTCAAACTTGACGGTCTACCTGGCAAGTGAAGTAGAGTTCACTTGTTTATCTGTCGGCACTATGCCCAGCCGCCTTTACTTACCCTAACGTCATTTAGGTACCCATCGGTCGGACTCAGTGACGGTCTTACGGGTTAGCAGTCCAGCTCTCTACCGCTAGGCCACTTCGTCTCCAGAAGATCATTAGGGTAAGGGGAGATTACAGCTTGAAACACGGGAGACAAGCCAGTTGTAAGATCTAAAAATAGCAGCCTTAGGTATCAAAGTTGGCGTGTCTACATCAATATTTCTCACAGGATAAAGAAATTAAAAACATTTAAAACAAAAATTTTTAAAGACACAATACGTGGCAGTGTGTGAAACAGTTACTTGAATGTTTCCACACCGTCTAGCACACCCAGCACAGCTTGAGGACCGTCGCTAGGAGGGTACGCGAACATTGGACCACAGGGGGGGGGGGGGGGGGTTGATCAAGGGTCTTCGACCACATATGCTCAACCCTAAAGTCTTCGATCATAAGTGGTTTGTCCAGAGCGGATGTTTGATCACAATTGCTTTGTCTTTACTGGATAAAGAGTTGCATAATTAATAAATAAGGGTATGACATGATTTAATATTATGAACATTCATCAGGTATAAATGAAATTAATCTAGATCAATCAAATCAAAAGTAGCAGCAGTCCATAAAATCAAAACTTGATGCACTTTTAAATAAAGCAGGAGTGATTTCCCCTAAACTTCCTCGAATATTCTTATATAACACTACGAGGATGCCAACTCGGGATATAGGCATGATTTTTAATCAATTTTTAATTAATTAAGTTTTTTAAATAGAATAGAATCTCATAGAAACAATGAATTGCGCACCAAGCGAACTGCAAACAATGTGTGCATAATAGTGCGGAATATTATTAGTACTTTTTAAATTCATATGCATTTTTTTTTTTGAAAAATCGGAAATAGCGTAAAGTACTACTTCCGGTTAAAGCAAATTAATCAAAATTCGACACTTAAATTTGAAATTTCGTTTATCTATCTGAAACAGTACTCAAGTTATAGGCTTTTGAAAAACCAATAGTAGAATTAGTTCCACTTCAGGTTTTTGAAAATCTCTAAAAATTTGATACGGAACTACACATTTTATATAATACTTTGTATATGAAATTTCATTAACCTGGCTGTAACAGTACTCAAGTTATCGTGTTCACAAACACACAAGCACACAAACACACAAAAACACATCCACATTGACATACAGACACACACAAAGACATACGGAAAAATAGCAAAATATGTTTTTCCGACTCAGGGAGGTGTAAGACGTCGAGATTTGTGAAAATCTCGATTTCAATTTTAGCCCCATTACAATACTTTCTGTATACTTGGTATACGAGAAAGCAAAAAAATCAATCTTTACATAATTTATATAATCTTTACTTTCTGGAATACGTTAGCGTATTATTTAAAATTTTGTTTGCATCCTTTTAAAAAAATCATTTCTGTCTCCTTTTTATTCTCATGTAGATCTACTATATTTATTTGTGAAACTTTTTACTCACCGCATTATTTGTATGTTTATAAATAAGATTTACTGTTTTAAATAGCAGGCTAATTTCTATGAATGAAAAGTCAAAGAAAATGTTTCATTAATTTTATTAATTATTTTATTAATTTAAATAGCTTTTTTAAAATTGATCTTATTAGTATAAAAACTACAAGTAAACAAACTGCCTGTGGTCAAAGTCCCTAAGGCAGCTAGGAGATGTGTGTTTGTATCACCGGTTGTGATTATTCAAACACATACAGGTCGTCTGATGAATGTAAGCTCAGACTTCAAACAAATTCAAACATCGTCTCAACTCTTTTGAACAGTTTGTCTACATGTTAGTAGCGATCGCCACTTGTTACAAGCTTTTAATTAACTCACTTCCTCTGTCGTCAGTCTGTCGTCAGTCTGTCTGTCTAGATCGAAACGCCCGAGCAAAATTGTAGGCACTTCTAAGTGACAAATACGGATCGTATTTGGTATTTGGGCCAAGACATGAAGATAATGCAACAGAACATTAAATTTGACTTAATTGGTTGCCTACTTAATTTTTTATGAAGAAATTAAATTTTTGTCCAAATTAGTAGGCTGTCTCATTCCGCGCAATTAGACACGCGTCATCACGTTCAATAGGTGCGCAATGGTTTTTAGTCATGCAACTCTAGTGTAAATAAAACATGTAAAGTACTGAAAAAAAATTCATAAAAAACGTTTTAATAACAAGCTTTTATGTACTAATGCACTAGAAAGTAGAAAATAAAGTATACACTACTATTTAAGTTACTATAAAAGAAAAGCGTGGGTCTCTTCCTAAATATTAGTAAAGGTATCCAATAGATACTAAAGTGACCCACGCTTTTCTTTATGGTAACTTAAATAGTTGTGTATACTTTATTTTTTACTTTTTAGTGTATTACTAGACTACCCGTCATCCCTTGGATAACTGTGGGTTTCGGGGGTCATCCATCAAAAAACATCACGTCTGTCACTCAGAGGCATAGCGACCCTTCCCAGCGCCCGGGGACAAACTTTTCGATTTGAACCCCCCCCTCAAACTTTTGATGTGCACCCCCCCCCCACTCAAACTTTCGATTTGCACCCCCCTCAACCTTTCAATTTATTTTTCCAAACCATTTTGGCGCCCCAAAAGAATTAAGGCCTGAAATAGATTCTAGATGTATTAAGGCCTGAAATAGATTCTAGATGTAGAATTTACATTAAGTCTAGATCTAGAATTTACATTGAGTCTAGTGACCTAGATCTAGGCTAGATCTAGATCTAGGCTAGATTCATAACTGCTGATCTTTAGATCTAGATTATTGTAAAACTAAATGAAAAAAGACAGTTGAAAATTTATATAAGTGTTGGAACGTAATAAATACAGCAAACGGACGTATTATTTAAGTTATGAAAATTAGATTTAGAACGCGTTAAACTTTTGAATGGGAACACAATTTTCTTCGATAGACGCCGCCATTTTATTGTACTAAAGAGTAAACAAAAAACTGTGACGTCACTGTTTCCGTCGAGTCTAGTGGCTTTTCAAATCTTTTTAAAAAATTGTGGTTAATATACTTATGAATAAATCAATAAATTAATTAACGTCTTTAAATAAATTTGTGATTAACAGTCTGTCTGCATTAAAAAATTATTCTCTACCTACACAATATTTTACAGCTCTCCAGATAGATTAGAACATAACACAATACTCGATCAGCCAAAAAAACAAACAAATAAATATTCAAACATGTAAACAAACTTGACTTTTAGCAGTATTAGATTACATACAAGCTTGTTATTATACCGTTTTTTATTAAATTTTTTACTTTATAGTTGTTTTAAAAAAATGGTTTTAACACAAGTAAAGCACAACTATTTACACACATGATATTTCAGAAACTTGAATACACTCAAGCTTTTACATACAAGTGTATAATTTTGTGAATTGAAGCCATTCATCTTACTGGTTTATGTGTTATTAACATAAGCTATGTAAAATTTAACAACTCTTTTCGAGAGTAGTTCAGTACGACTAAAAAAAAAACTTATATTTACAAGTCAACACAGTTTGCACGACGATGGAGACCTCTGTGAACAGTAGCGCTGAGGTTGGGAGATCAAACAACCCGATTGACACCAACCCTCTAGACAACGGGTTGAGCGACCCCATCTGGTTGATGGTAGACTTTGTTCTGTCAGTTGCTGTCAACCTCATCTTGAGTTCCTGTGGTATCGTCGCTAACATCATCAACGTCGTTGTCTTCGTCAAACAGGTAGGAGGGCAGTTTGTATGTCTAGGTCACGATACCTCAGGGCAATATATATATGTATATATATATATATATATATATATATATATATATATATATATATATATATATATATATATATATATATATGTGAGACTGTAAACATCAGTCTTTTAGCTCTGTCCTAAACCTTCCCCACGACCACCGTGAGACTGTAAACATCAGTCTTTTAGCTCTGTCCTAAACCTTCCCCAGGACCACCGTGAGACTGTAAGCATCAGTCTTTTAGCTCTGTCCTAAATCTTCCCCAGGACCACCGTGAGACTGTAAACATCAGTCTTTTAGCTCTGTCTTAAACCTTCCCCAGGACCACCATGAGACTGTAAACATCAGTCTTTTAGCTCTGTCCTAAACCTTCCCCAGGACCACCGTGAGACTGTAAGCATCAGTCTTTTAGCTCTGTCCTAAACCTTCCCCAGGACCACCGTGAGACTGTAAACATCAGTCTTTTAGCTCTGTCCTAAACCTTCCCCAGGACCACCGTGAGAAACATCAGTCTTTTAGCTCTGTCCTAAACCTTCCCCAGGACCACCGTGAGAAACATCAGTCTTTTAGCTCTGTTCTAAACCTTCCCCAGGACCACCGTGAGACTGTAAACATCAGTCATTTAGCTCTGTCCTAAACCTTCCCCAGAACCACCGTGAGACTGTAAACATCAGTCTTTTAGCTCTGTCCTAAACCTTCCCCAGGACCACCGTGAGACTGTAAGCATCAGTCTTTTAGCTCTGTCCTAAATCTTCCCCAGGACCACCGTGAGACTGTAAACATCAGTCTTTTAGCTCTGTCTTAAACCTTCCCCAGGACCACCATGAGACTGTAAACATCAGTCTTTTAGCTCTGTCCTAAACCTTCCCCAGGACCACCGTGAGACTGTAAGCATCAGTCTTTTAGCTCTGTCCTAAACCTTCCCCAGGACCACCGTGAGACTGTAAACATCAGTCTTTTAGCTCTGTCCTAAACCTTCCCCAGGACCACCGTGAGAAACATCAGTCTTTTAGCTCTGTCCTAAACCTTCCCCAGGACCACCGTGAGAAACATCAGTCTTTTAGCTCTGTTCTAAACCTTCCCCAGGACCACCGTGAGACTGTAAACATCAGTCATTTAGCTCTGTCCTAAACCTTCCCCAGAACCACCGTGAGACTGTAAACATCAGTCTTTTAGCTCTGTCCTAAACCTTCCCCAGGACCACCATGAGACTGTAAACATCAGACTTTTAGCTCTGTCCTAAACCTTCCACAGGACCACCGTGAGACTGTAAACATCAGTCTTTTAGCTCTGTCCTAAACCTTCCCCAGGACCACCGTGAGACTGTAAACATCAGTCTTTTAGCTCTGTCCTAAACCTTCCCCAGGACCACCGTGAGACTGTAAACATCAGTCTTTTAGCTCTGTCCTAAATCTTCCCCAGGACCACCGTGAGACTGTAAACATCAGTCTTTTAGCTCTGTCTTAAACCTTCCCCAGGACCACCATGAGACTGTAAACATCAGTCTTTTAGCTCTTTCCTAAACCTTCCCCAGGACCACCGTGAGACTGTAAGCATCAGTCTTTTAGCTCTGTCCTAAACCTTCCCCAGGACCACCGTGAGACTGTAAACATCAGTCTTTTAGCTCTGTCCTAAACCTTCCCCAGGACCACCGTGAGAAACATCAGTCTTTTAGCTCTGTCCTAAACCTTCCCCAGGACCACCGTGAGAAACATCAGTCTTTTAGCTCTGTTCTAAACCTTCCCCAGGACCACCGTGAGACTGTAAACATCAGTCATTTAGCTCTGTCCTAAACCTTCCCCAGAACCACCGTGAGACTGTAAACATCAGTCTTTTAGCTCTGTCCTAAACCTTCCCCAGGACCACCGTGAGACTGTAAGCATCAGTCTTTTAGCTCTGTCCTAAATCTTCCCCAGGACCACCGTGAGACTGTAAACATCAGTCTTTTAGCTCTGTCTTAAACCTTCCCCAGGACCACCATGAGACTGTAAACATCAGTCTTTTAGCTCTGTCCTAAACCTTCCCCAGGACCACCGTGAGACTGTAAGCATCAGTCTTTTAGCTCTGTCCTAAACCTTCCCCAGGACCACCGTGAGACTGTAAACATCAGTCTTTTAGCTCTGTCCTAAACCTTCCCCAGGACCACCGTGAGAAACATCAGTCTTTTAGCTCTGTCCTAAACCTTCCCCAGGACCACCGTGAGAAACATCAGTCTTTTAGCTCTGTTCTAAACCTTCCCCAGGACCACCGTGAGACTGTAAACATCAGTCATTTAGCTCTGTCCTAAACCTTCCCCAGAACCACCGTGAGACTGTAAACATCAGTCTTTTAGCTCTGTCCTAAACCTTCCCCAGGACCACCATGAGACTGTAAACATCAGACTTTTAGCTCTGTCCTAAACCTTCCACAGGACCACCGTGAGACTGTAAACATCAGTCTTTTAGCTCTGTCCTAAACCTTCCCCAGGACCACCGTGAGACTGTAAACATCAGTCTTTTAGCTCTGTCCTAAACCTTCCCCAGGACCACCGTGAGACTGTAAACATCAGTCTTTTAGCTCTGTCCTAAACCTTCCCCAGGACCACCGTGAGACTGTAAACATCAGTCTTTTAGCTCTGTCCTAAACCTTCCCCAGGACCACCGTGAGAAACATCAGTCTTTTAGCTCTGTCCTAAACCTTCCCCAGGACCACTGTGAGACTGTAAACATCAGTCTTTTAGCTCTGTCCTAAACCTTCCCCAGGACCACCGTGAGACTGTAAACATCAGTCTTTTAGCTCTGTCCTAAACCTTCCCCAGGACCACCGTGAGACTGTAAACATCCGTCCTTTAGCTCTGTCCTAAATCTTCCCCAGGACCACCGTGAGACTGTAAGCATCAGTCTTTTAGCTCTGTCCTAAATCTTCCCCAGGACCACCGTGAGACTGTAAACATCAGTCTTTTAGCTCTGTCCTAAACCTTCCACAGGACCACCGTGAGACTGTAAACATCAGTCTTTTAGCCCTGTCCTAAACCTTCCCCAGGACCACGGTGAGACTGTAAACATCAGTCTTTTAGCCCTGTGTGTTGCTGACCTTGGATACAGCCTGACCTTGTTCTGGGAGAGTATCTGTGTCAACCCTTACCTGCAGAAGTCTGACATACCTGTAGCAGTGCCTGATTTGACGTATCTGACTGCAGGTAAGTTGAAAGTTTCATGTAAGTTCATAGAAAACTTAAGCTATACTTAGGTTACTGTAAGGTTTTATAAAAGAAAAGAAATAACTGCATGAGACAGTTGAATCAGTAAATCTGTGAGTTTTTTTTTAAATCCAACTTTGGTGACGCTAATGTTTGAACGTAACTTTGTACACATGTGAACCAACCATATGACAACTAATTACAGATGGGACCACAACATACATGTAACACTAAAACTTTAGATTTGGATTCATTCCGCGTGTATACATGTAACTTTGTAACATAACTTAAACATCCTTACATACTTTTATTTCCTTACAGTTTTACCAAACGGTGTTTTCTCCCGAATCTCCACCCTAATCCACGTGTACATAACACTAGAGCGGTGCCTGTGTATAGCCATGCCTCTAAAGATCAAAGAAATCTTCACACCAAACCAATCAATAACCACCATGGCTGGGATTTATCTATTATCGACTCTCAGCATTTTACCAATGTACCTGTCAGGTTACCTGGAGCTGTCAATCAACCCAACAACCAACACAACCATCTACGTCAGAGTCAGCTACAGCAACTCTGTTTTCCTCGAAAATATCGGGCTGGTTGTGTCTGCCTTTATCAACGTCATCTCCTACATCTTCGACATCCTCTTCACCATCATCATCATCCTACAGCTGCAGGTCAAATCAAAATGGCGCAGCCAGGCCACAAGCAGCGGGGCAGGGAAGACAAAATTATCAACCAAGGACAGGAAAGTGATTAAAATGATTCTGTTGATTTCAGTTCTGTTTATCGTCTGCACGTTCCTGAACTGCGTCAAATTTCTGCAGGGCATTATCGACAACTTCATCGCCACGGAGACCGAGGCTTTTAAAAGTATTCGCGCCTTTTTCTTCCCGTGGTCGCTGGTGCTGACGTGTGAGCAGATACTACACGCCTCTAACATCTTCATCTACTACAACATGAGCGCCAACTACAAACTGCTCCTGGGAAAATGTGTTCAGTCATTTCTTGCTTTTATATTCAGGAGAAATAAAATATAAACATCTTTCAACATGTCATCATCACACAAATCTGTGACCCAATACAATATGGAATACCACCGTCCCCCCTCACCCTCTAAACCAGGATGTCGGCCCACTGTAAAACATGTTAATTTAACGATAATCAACCAATATTAATAATAAACTAGACTACCCGTTATCATTTGATAACTGCGGGTTTCGTCTATAAATGACCTCACATTTCTTTGACGATTTGCATCTTTGCCATTGGCACAAAAAGCCAGACCCCACATTAAAAAAGACGTCATATAATCTTTCTATTTCTTCTTTTAAAACTCCGGTTTCGGCGTAGCATTGGTCTGATCACATTATCCCTTCATTTCCTGAAGCCACAGGTGGACTTTACTTCACCTGCCGAACTCTACTCAAATGCCCCGTGTCCTGCCAAGTCCCGATAGGCACCTTAATCATTCATATCTAAAAGCCACACCTCAGCTTACACAATTTTGTCTCTTTAAAAAATCGATTTATTTCTGTAATATTTTCTGAGCTCAAACCTCATTTGAATAATAAATGAATAAATTATTAAAGCTTACGTCAGGCTAATAATAATAATGAACGCCTGTTGTGATTACGCAATGTGCTTCCATGGAAGCGGCCATGTTTGTTGTGAAAATAAGTAAATAATATCAAGTGATGTCACTAAGTTCGGTTTTTAAATTTTTTATGAAAATAAAGTATTTGTTCTGAACTTTAATGAGTAAAGGGGTGTTTCTACAAATGAATATATCAATAAATTAATTATTGTCTTAAAATAAATCAGTGTATTACATTTTGAGCAAAAAAAGAACATTTTTCTGTACATAATTACGTATTTTAAAGCTCTATACATAAGGCAGAAGTTTCATCTAACGGAACAGACAAACAAACGAAAAAGAAATATACAAACGTTTCGTTTTTAGTAGTAGGCCTATATAGAAGATAAATACTAAAAACAATTGTCCTTTATTAACGATGTTAATACAGCGAACAGTGCACGATGGAACACAATTTTCTCCACAAGATACAATGTAAACACCTAGCAATAGTAAAATAACAACAAAGGTGCACTATTATATTTAAAGAAAATCTTTTTATTTTCAGCCTTTGTGTGCATTAAAGCGTGTCGTGTTGATATTATAAACAATAGCATACATTTCTTACTTTGTAATGTTATTTTTGTTTTGATGCAACCATTCGTTTAATGGAAACAAACACTTCTGATCTCTGATCTAATAGTTGTTCTATTTATTTTATTCCGGACAAATACAATTTTTTGGCTATATGAAAGTGTCCTTCAGTTCGCAAAATATCCACTTAACTATTGTTATAAATAGTGCGTTTTAAAATTATTTCTTATAATTATTGCTATAAACAGTTTTAAAATTTTTGTTCAACATGAATTATCTTTTAGAAGTGATTACAAGTAACTTATATTTATAAAAACTACAGCTGGGTGTAGGTCGCGATAAAAACAAGACTCAAATCTATACATAAATCAATTTTTAAATTAGTAAATAAAATGTTACTTGTTTACCAATGATCCTAATTTCCTTGCAATTTTCTTGAATTAATGTGAATAAACTCTGCTATCATATGTAACCGTTCATTATCACAAATGACACGTAGTAATGACAGCAATCTTGCCCAGCCAACCCCTCCCTGCCAACCCCTCCCCGCTACCCCCCCCTCCCTGGTGTAAAGAACGACAGTCGACGACTAATGTCATGGTGCTACCTCTCCCACTGTTATTTGCTTAACGCATTATTTTCAATCGATTTACTCTATAAAATAAAAGACGTAACTCGTATACTTAGCCATAACCTTTCTCTTACATAAATGACAGATTTATCAATATCATTGCTATGTACTTCAAATTCTTTAAAATCCGCCAGAGTTCAACACATCTCAGTTGTGTCTTAACATAAGGACAAAATGAAGAACTAGCTTCACGGAAGGTCGGGCGATGTGACCGTGTTACAAAATCATATCGCGATAATATTTGAAGTTTCGCATTCAACTTTCTTTCTGAAAGCGTCTCGATGTTAGGTAAAACCGAAACAAATTTTAAACAAGATTTTCCTCTAATTCAATTTGTATAATTTTACTTCAAGGAGTTTTATTTTAAAAATCTGCGGAATAATTTAGACGACAGTTGCAACACAAACATGTAAACTATTTGCACTAGCATTAGGCCATTACTATAGCTTGGTAGGACATTAGGACAAGGACAAAGAACAAAACTGGTCCCCCTTGTCTTAAGCCTCATGACTGGAGAGTCACTTATCTAACTTTTATTGAACATTAGCGAAATACAATCATTCAATTACCCAATAGATTTCGATCAATGCAGTAAAAGTAAACAAAGCACATGTTTTATCATGACATGGTAGGACATCAGGACTTGGACGAACTACTCTTGAGGACATAATTCATTAGTCGGGAAATGCGAAAATAGCAGTGATATATAAATATATATATACTATTGTATTTGTGAAAGAGTTGTTTGCAGTACAAAATAATGTTTTTTTTCTATTGTTCCATCAGAATTGACAAAATAAATAAAGAAAACTTACAGCCAATCAGCTTCGATGTGTCTAAAAATAGATTTTTCAGCGAGATGAGATTTACCCAAGGGAGTGAACTCAGTCGGTAAACATTCTGTGTCTAGCGGCTGGACTGATGGGAAGATCGGCGATATTTACACACTGATTACATATTGATTACACTATGATTACACATGTATTACACACTGATTACATATTGATTACACACTGGGTCTGTAAACCACATAACTATTTGTGAAGTCTCTACCACGTGATACTGTCGTGCTGTAGAACGTTCTAGACAAAACAAAAATGTCTTTGGATTTAAATTTAGGAAAAAATGACTTACAACCAAGTCAGATGACCACATAAGGTCATGTGATCTAAGATTAGGTCATTAGGTCAACGTGAGCTTGAGGCGGACAGCCATGAACTACTCCAGCAAATCTTCCACACCTGCAGGTCACTCACCCGACCAGCTCATCAGCGATGACGTCAGACACTACTTCGAGATCGCCTTCTTCGTGAGCATCAACGGCATCCTCAGCGTTTTGGGCTCTGTGGCTAATGTCATTAATGTCATCGTCTACCTGCGACAGGTAAGGTGGGTGACGTCATCAATGTCATCGTCTACCTGCGACAGGTTAGTTGGTTACGTCATCAGCGTCATCGTCTACCTGCGACAGGTAAGGTGGGTGACGTCATCAACTACATGATGATGTTGATGACGTCACCAGGGGGCTGCGATGACAATGCCGATAATTTTTAATGTGAACGTTTGAGTTGAATAATGTGATAATTTAAGTTATATTGTTGCTTTATTTGTGCAGTTAAACATATCACATTTTTAATAAACATTTAAAAGAAACAACACCCATCAAGTAGAACTGAACCCTAATCCTAATCCTAATCCTAACACTTACACTAACCCTACCCCTAACTATAACTCTGACCCAGACCCTAACCCTGACCCAGACCCTAACCCTGACCCAGACCCTAACCCTGACCCAGACCCTAACCCTGACCCAGACCATAACCCTGACCCAGACCCTAACCCTGACCCTGACCCTAACCCTAACCCCACCAGACGACGCCATTTTCTCTCCCCAGGGGTTCCGTGACACCATCAACATCAGCCTTCTGTGTTTGTCCTTGGCTGACCTTGGCAGTCTACTCACACTGATGGTACAAAGTATTTTTAACAACCCCCTATTTTTAGCATCTGACGTCACCTTTGCTGGAGAGGAGCTTCATTTCATCGTGGCAGATAAGTCACTACTAGGACATTGACCTGCCGTCCCCACTAGGACATTGACCTGACGTCCCCACTAGGACATTGACCTGCCGTCCCCACTAGGACATTGACCTGACGTCCCACCAGGACATCGACCTGCCGTCCCCACTAGGACATTGACCTGCCGTCCCCACTAGGACATTGACCTGACGTCCCACCAGGACATCGACCTGCCGTCCCCACTAGGACATTGACCTGCCGTCCCCACTAGGACATTGACCTGACGTCGCACCAGGACATCGACCTGCCGTCCCCACTAGGACATTGAACTGCCCTAGGACATTGACCTGCCCTAGGACATTGACCTGCCGTCCCCACTAGGACATTGACCTGCCGTCCCCACTAGGACATTGACCTGCCCTAGGACATTGACCTGCCCTAGGACATTGACCTGCCGTCCCCACTAGGACATTGACCTGTCGTCCCCACTAGGACATTGACCTGACGTCCCCCACTAGGACATTGACCTGCCCTAGGACATTGACCTGCCCTAGGACATTGACCTGCCGTCCCCACTAGGACATTGACCTGACGTCCCCACTAGGACATTGACCTGCCCTAGGACATTGACGTGACGTCCCCACTAAGACATTGATCTGCCGTCTCTATGAGTACAAAGGCCAATCGTTTAACTAGAATTTTGAAAGTGTGTCTGTGTGTGTGTTTGTGTGTGTTTGTGTGTGTTTGTGTCAAATGTCAGGCTATAGGAATGCTGTAGGCCAATGCTTGCTGTACAAGTCATATTGCCTGTTGTGTCTTGTCTCCACTGACAGCTGTTCCCCACGGACTGTGTGTTTGTGTGTAAATGGTGTCAAATGTCAGGCTATAGGAATGCTGTAGGCCAATGCTTGCTGTACAAATCATGTCATATCTTGTCTTGTCTTGTCTCCACTGACAGCTGTTCCCCACGGACTGTGTGTTAGGATTGCCTGGTGGATCACCACATTCATCACGTTTGAGAGGTGCCTCAGCATCGCTCTGCCCTTACAGATCAAACAAATTATGACTCCTGCCCTCACTGCCTGCGTCATGGCCGGCATAACCCTGGTCATTGCAGCCGGCATGACTCCGCTGTTCGCCAGCTACACGCTCAGCTCAAAGTACTTCTCCAGCAGAAACCGGACTTTGACCGGACTTGTTTACGTGCCTACCGGGCCTTACCTTGAGCAGGTGGGCTCGTACTTTAACGTGGTCACCGAGTTCAGCTCCGTCATTCTCGACATCATCTTCACCCTCATCATCGTCAGGACGCTACAGACCAACTCAAAATGGCGTCGGGGGATGGTCGGGTCGGACAAGGAACCCGCCGGCCTGAGGGGACGGGACAAGAAGGTCATCAAGATGGTGGTCCTCATCTCGTGTATCTTCATCGCCTGCACGCTGCCCAGCTGCGTCAACTTTATCGTCGGCGTCGTCGTGGCGGACGTCTACAACCTGGTGGGCGCTCAGCGGAACAGCTATTACGTCATCTGGTCGGTTATCCTGACGCTAGAGGCCGTCAACAGCAGCGTCAACATTTTCGTGTACTACGTCATGAGTCAGCGCTACAGGGAGACATTCAACCAACTGTTTGGACGGAGGGTCAACTAATTTGGCCAGGGAACACTCAACCAACTGTTTGGACGGAGGGTCAACTGATGTTGCCAGGGCACATTCAACCAACTGTTTGGACGGAGGGTCAACTAATGTGGCCAGGTCACATTCAACCAACTGTTTGGACGGAGGGTCAACTGATGTGGCCAGGGCACATTCAACCAACTGTTTGGACGGAGGGTCAACTAATGTGGCCAGGGGATATTCAACCAACTGTTTGGACGGAGGGTCAACTAATTTGGCCAGGGGATATTCAACCAACTGTTTGGACGGAGGGTCAACTAATGTGGCCAGCGCACATTCAACCAACTGTTTGGACGTGGGCTACACATGAATTATAGGCCTATATATTTTATTGTTATACTTGTTTAAAATATTGTGTAAAATAGTTAAGGGTCAAAACGCAATGTGATTACTACACGTTGAACGATATTAGTGAAAAAGCAAAAAAATAACCAAATAGCTAAAAATCCGACACATTTAAAATAACATGGGTTACCAATACCTATTAGAAAAACCAAATTATATACATTATTAGTCAAATGTTTCAGTTAAAAAAACAGCTGATCAATGGTATTTATGTTGTTTTTTACAAGCTTTTTTAAAACTCACTTCTTCGTCAGTCTGTCGTCAGTCTGTCGTCAGTCTTTCTAGATCGAAACGGCCGAGCAAAATTGCAGGCACTTCTAACCAGGGGCGGAACTACAGTGCCACCAGACCCAGCAATGCGGTGGGGGGGGGGGGGGGGGGCACGCCATTTAGGGGCCCACAGCTGACCATAGTAACTTTTTTTATAGTTAATTTAAAAAAAAATTTCTTGCATTTTTTATTAGATGGTTGTTTTGTAATTATTATTGGATTATCTTTATTCTATGGCTACTAAAGAGCTCATTACTGAATTATATACAGTCGAAATAAAGAATGTGGTCTGTAATTTGACATTACAAACTTTTAAATTGTTTTCCACATCAAGTGTGCGACACCAAAATAAAAAGGCAAAGTGACTGGTAAAAACACAGTTTCTTACAGGCATCTCCACCCCCCCCGTATGAAATGGAATTTATATAGAAAATATATACTTTTAACAGTGTCGCCCCCCCCCCCCCCCCACATTTTAGTTCGCCCCCCCTCTCCCGAAAATTTTAGGTTCCCCCCCCCCTCCCCCGAGAAAAGTCTGGAAGAAACACTGGTTGAAAAGCGCCTCGACCATTTCACATGAGGGAGGTGGGGGCGCATTTTCACCAACGCGCTAGATGGGGCGCAAAATTGATAGTTCGGCACCTACATAGATCGTTACGCCTTTTGTATATAGTTAATGTAGGAAAATGAAAGTTATCAATTATTACGTACTTTTTAATAATGGCGACTTCACATTTTTGCGCCTTAGGCGAACTACTAGTTCACATTACAGGTAGCACCGGGCGAACTACTAGTTGACCTTATAGGTAACACCGTTCTGGTCACACCTACCAAAAATAAATTTATGTGACAACAACAATTTATTTACGCAAAGTGTATACCGACAAGGGGTAGGGGGTAGGGGGGAAGCGTCATTGTACGAAAGCAAACACATTTCCCCCTTATAAATGTTGCAAAATGTGTTAGCACATGTTTGAAAACTTCAAACAAATCCACCAGAAAAATTCACCAGGCAAATCCAAAAGAAAGCGTGGGACTCTTGACGAGTCTTGAGATTTGAATATTGAGTACAGAATATAGTAACGCTCGCTTTTTAGTTGTTTAAATGGTCGTTCATTATTATATTTTAAATGCGAAGTAGTTGCTGAAATATGATAAAAAATATATAATTCTTGCGTTTCTATTTTAGTAATAGTATATAGTGTCGAGTACTAATAGCAGTCACCAAGAATATTCCCAACGAGCCGGCCCGCGGCATAACATACGCCGCTATTTAGTTGTTTTTTCTACTTTTCAGTAATTCGTAATTTGTGAATTCGACAGTACCAACGCTGACACTGAAAATATTTCTTTAAAACACTATAAGTAGCTCGTTAAGGACCATAACCCCCCTTTCCTTCCCACCCCCCTTCCTCCCCTCCCCCAACGTAAAAATCGTTTCAAACTAAATTATCTGCCCCTAATAGCCGTCACTAAACCCGACTCCACGAAGGTAAACATAGCGTGAACCACAGCTCACTAAGACCATTTAGGGGTGGGGATGGTAGGGAGCGCGTTTACAGCTTGTTTTCTAGCGTCTCCCAGAAGAGAATTATATATATAGATAGATACGTGAAATAAAAAAAAAAAAAAAAAAAAAAAAAAAAAAAAAAAAGTGGTCAAAGGGAAACCAACATGAATTCATTTTAGTTTGTATGTGAGCAGTAGTTACCTCGCTTTATAGTTTTGCAAATGTTGTCTGATTAGATATCTAAGGGATTTGTTATAATAAAATAGTCAAAATTAATGAATAAATAAAAAAAAAATATTAATTAGGCCTAATATTACTAATTATCAATAAATAATTTTAATATTTCAAAATATAAATAAATAATATTAAATATTAGTATTAATTTAATTTAATTTAAATATTGATATTTACCACTAAAAATTTAATATTTTGTTATGAAAAATTATAATATACTCAAACAACTTTCTTGAACATGAAATATCACGAACATGCGGTTTTCAACGTTTTTTTTTTTAACCTTTCAAACAATTACAAAAAATAAAAAGGGGAATAACCATGATAAAACTTCGAATCGAAACAATTTCATGTTTGTTTCCCTTTGACCGTACGATTGCTGATAAATTTCTTGAATTTGAATTATAAAGGGGAATAATTATAGAAAAGAGAATAATTACATGGTTATCTATAATAGACTATAATAGACTGGTTATAGCTTATTTCGTAAAAATTCAAATTTCTTCAATTTTCTTCAAATTTGAAATTTCTTTATAAAAAAATATTTTAATTCAACCGTTTTTGTGTCAACATATAGCTAAATTTAAACTGATCTTCACGTTTGCTGTATTTATTTTTAGGACTTCACGAAAAAAAAAAGAAATAAAAAAAAAGGTGGTATTTATGAATACAAACGTATGTCTAATTTCTTTAAACGAAACCTTTGTATTGAAACTCATATTTTTAAGTGAGGTTATTGCCCTTTGACATAAAATTCCTTCCCTTTTGTTTTGTTTTACAATTAGGAGAAGGATAAAGAATTCCCAGTGATGTTGATGGTAAATCCTTGTATATTTTCCCTTGAGAGTAAAACAATGTTTTGTTTTATTTTCTTCACATGTATCACATAAGCCTATTGTATCACACAAAAACATTGCAAACATTGACATTTTTAAGGTAAAATAGTTATCACTATCTTGTTTTGGTATAAAATTTTATTTTAAAAATATCCATAAATTAAACAGTCAAATTTTTGTTTAAACTTTTATAAAATGAAATTTAAAGAATATAAGTATGTAAAACTTTAAATTGTAATTTTTGTCACAATTTGTGCTAAAATGTGTTTTGTTTTTTAAATATTTTAAAAGAAACTAAAAAAACATCGAGTCGCTAAAAATGGGTTTACAATTTAGTGTTGTTTTTTTTGGTCAACTAAACCCAAAAAATTAAAACACGAACTCAAAAAGAAATCTATTTATAGACATATGAATTCATAGTTAAATAACCAAGCAATCCTCGCTGGGCGACTACAACGTCTACAATACTTACACAGTTACCTCTCCTACCAGTAAATAGTTCGATGCATAAAAAGAGATTTTGCTAAAAAACGCGAGGTTAAGTCCCCAAAAGTTTTAAAAAGATATTTCTGTAGAATCGATCGAGTTCACTATAAGACCAAACGTAACATGAGTAACAAGATTACAATTTGGTGAAAATAATTTAAAAAATTCTTTGCGAATGAAATCCGTAACAACGAGAATAGTTTTAATAACAAGTGGATAGCAGAATAAGACATTGAAGTATTACGATATATGATAAGTGAAATGATACAGACCGATATATCATAAGTGAAATGATACAAGCCTAATATATGATAAGTGAAATGACACAAACCCGATATATGATAAGTGAAATGATTCAAGCATAATATATTATAAGTGAAATGATACAAACCCGATGTATGATAAGTGAAATGATACAAGCCTAATATATGATAAGTAAAATGATACAAACCCTATATACGATAAGTGAAATGATACAAGCCTAATATATCATACATGAAATGATACAAACCCGATATTTGATAAGTGAAATGATACAAATCCGATATATGATACGTGAAATGATAGAAACCCGATATATGATAAGTGAAATGATACAAACCCGATATATGATAACTGAAATAATAGATAGCTTATACATTTTTAAGCAAACATTTATAAAGTGTTAGTTACTGTTGCGTATCTTCCAGTTTTTAAAACTGTATTTTAAATAGACAATTTTTTATTCATTTGGAAAAATAAATTATTACCCTTGATAGTATCGGTTTACAATTTTGAATATTTGACGGAAAACTAATTGATAAGTTGTGCTCATACTGTAAAAAATAAAAATGTTGACTATGTATTGAATTTGTTCAGATATTCGTATACACGACCAGGGAACAAAGAAAACTTGGAGCCTGTTCAAGTTTTCGACATTCTGGGCTAAAAAACTTTTGATTATACCCTGCAGGAAATTAAAGCAACTCAAGAAATAGAAGAGTATAAAAAAGCAAGCTATAATTACAACCATTTTAACCACTTTCCTGTCTTTGGCGGTCAGTTTAGGTTTTGAATTTGCCGTTTTCGTCATTTTATTGCGCAATTTAGATTTATCTTGTAACTGCCAGATTATAATAATTGTCAGGAAGATTTCTAAAACATAAGGTAATAAAATACAGAGCACAGTCAAAAATAAACCAATACTTTCTAGAAGAATCGCATTGTCGTACCGAATTCTGACGTAGACGGTTGTGTTGGTTGTTGGGTTGATTGACAGCTCCAGGTAACCTGACAGGTACATTGGTAAAATGCTGAGAGTCGATAATAGATAAATCCCAGCCATGGTGGTTATTGATTGGTTCGGTGTGAAGATTTCTTTGATCTTTAGAGGCATGGCAATACACAGGCACCGCTCTAGTGTTATGTACACGTGGATTAGGGTGGAGATTCGGGAGAAAACTGCGCTAGGTAAAGCTGGGGATAAAAAATTGAAGTACAATTTATATATTGTGAGTTGATATATTTTATATGTTAATGTGATGCGTTGCTTTTGTATACTTTTGTTTTAAAGAAGCTGATTAAACACTAATGATATTCACAGTAAATGACGTAACAGGTATTCGTTATCCAGAAACAAGATTAAATAAAGCAACCCACATTCTTTGATATAGACCAAATCTTCCAGTTCCATAGATGTACATACCTGCTATGATATAGACCAAATCTTCCAGTTCCATAGATGTACATACCTGCTATGATATAGACCAAATCTTCCAGTTCTATAGATGTACATACCTGCTATGATATAGACCAAATCTTCCAGTTCTATAGATGTACATACCTGCTATGATATAGACCAAATCTTCCAGTTCCATAGATGTACATACCTGCTATGATATAGACCAAATCTTCCAGTTCTATAGATGTACATACCTGCTATGATATAGACCAAATCTTCCAGTTCCATAGATGTACATACCTGCTATGATATAGATCAAATCTTCCAGTTCCATAGATGTACATACCTGCTATGATATAGACCAAATCTTCCAGTTCTATAGATGTACATACCTGCTATGATATAGACCAAATCTTCCAGTTCCATAGATGTACATACCTGCTATGATATAGACCAAATCTTCCAGTTCTATAGATGTACATACCTGCTATGATATAGACCAAATCTTCCAGTTCCATAGATGTACATACCTGCTATGATATAGACCAAATCTTCCAGTTCTATAGATTTACATACCTGCTATGATATAGACCAAATCTTCCAGTTCTATAGATGTACATACCTGCTGTAAGGTACACCAAATCTTCTAGACCTATGGGAATGCCAGACTTTTGAAGATAAGGATTGTACAAAACACTTTCCCAGAACATGAAGACGCTAGATCCTAGGTCAGCGACACAGAGAGCCAAGAAATTTACGTTGACTGTTTTACTCAAGTCCTGGGTTGGAGTTTAAAATAGATTGATTCAACTAACACAAATATTTTAAAAAGACCTAATTATACCAGGACAAAAAGTTTTGGAACATCCATAACAAATCGTAAACTACAAGAAACTAAATTAGATAATAATAATAATAATAATAATAATAATAATAATAATAATAATAATAATAATAATAATAATAATAATAATAATAATAATAATAATAAAAAATAATAAATGCTTTTTAAAGTTAGTTTTATTATAACGTTTTTGAATTACTTGCTAATCGTATTCTTATTAAACAGCTATTAGAAATACAAAAATAAAAACTTAATTAGAAATCAATTTTAGAATTTATTTTAATAGACTAACTTTGTAGTACTTTTGTACTACAAAGTTAATATAATCTACTAAAATAAATAATTAAATTGAAAGCAGTTTTTATCTCAAGATTCTGAATAATTTGAATTGTTTTAAATATTTAACCCACCTGTTTTAAAAATACTGTAATGTTGATAATATTAGCACCGACCTTTTTTAAACCCACCTGTTTTAAAAACACCATGATGTTAATAATATTAGCACCGACCTTTTTTAAACCCACCTGTTTTAAAAACACCATGATGTTAATAATATTAGCACCGATACCAAAGGAACTCAAGATCCCAAGTACCGGGGCAGACATGACAAAGTCGACCAGCTGCCACACAGGGTCGCTCAATAAGCTCACAACTGTTGGGCTGGTGTAGACAGGTTTCAGAGTTATGTCCCCGTCAGTGCTCTTGTTTAGGGCAAACTCCATGGTAGTGGACTAGATAGGTTGGTGGTCCAGCAGGTTGGTGGTCCAGTAGGTTGGTGGTCCAGTAGGTTGGTGGTCCAGTAGGTTGGTGGTCCAGTAGGTTGGTGGTCCAGTAGGTTGGTGGTCCAGTAGGTTGGTGGTCCAGTAGGTTGGTGGTCCAGTAGGTTGGTGGTCCAGTAGGTTGGTGGTCTAGTAGGTTGGTGGTCCAGTAGGTTTCTGATGGTGCTAGCAGATAGGTTGGTGGTCCAGTAGGTTGGTGGTCCAGTAGGTTGGTGGTCTAGTAGGTTTCTGGTTGTGCTAACAGATAGGTTGGTGGTCCAGTAGGTTTATGATGGTGCTTGCAGATAGGTTGGTGGTCCAGTAGGTTTCTGGTAGTGCTGGTAGATAGGTTGATGGTCCAGTAGGTTGGTGGTCCAGTAGATTGGTGGTCTAGTAGGTTTCTGGTAGTGCTGGTAGATAGGTTGGTGGTCCAGTAGGTTGGTGGTCCAGTAGGTTGGTGGTCCAGTAGGTTGGTGGTCCAGTAGGTTTCTGATGGTGCTAGCAGATAGGTTGGTGGTCCAGTAGGTTGGTGGTCCAGTAGGTTGGTGGTCTAGTAGGTTTCTGGTGGTGCTAGCAGATAGGTTGGTGGTCCAGTAGGTTGATGGTCCAGTAGGTTTCTGATGGTGCTAGCAGATAGGTTGGTGGTCCAGTAGGTTGGTGGTCCAGTAGGTTGTTGGACCAGTAGGTTTCTGATGGTGCTAGCAGATAGGTTGGTGGTCCAGTAGGTTTCTGGTAGTGCTGGTAGATAGGCTGGTGGTCCAGTAGGTTTCTGGTAGTGCTGGTAGATAGGTTGGTGGTCCAGTAGGTTGGTGGTCCAGTAGATTGGTGGTCCAGTAGGTTGGTGGTCCAGTAGGTTTCTAATGGTGCTAGCAGATAGGTTGGTGGTCCAGTAGGTTGGTGGTCCAGTAGGTTGGTGGTCCAGTAGGTTTATGATGGTGCTTACAGATAGGTTGGTGGTCCAGTATGTTTCTGAAAGTGCTGGTAGATAGGTTGGTGGTCCAGTAGGTTGGTGGTCCAGTAGGTTGGTGGTCCAGTAGGTTGGTGGTCCAGTAGGTTTCTGGTGGTGCTAACAGATAGATATATAAAATAAATAAAAAATTAATTATATGAAAAAATAAATAGATAGATAACTAGATAGATGAATAGATGAATAGATGAATAGATGAATAGATGAATAGATGAATAGATGAATAGATGAATAGATGAATAGATGAATAGATGAATAGATGAATAGATGAATAGATGAATAGATGAATAGATGAATAGATGAATAGATGAATAGATGAATAGATGAATAGATGAATAGATGAATATAAAAAAAAAGATGAAAAGATAAATAGATGAATAGATGAATAGATGAACAGATGAACAGATAAACAGATAAACAGATAAACAGATAAACAGATAAACAGATAAATAGATAAACAGATAAACAGATAAACAGATAAACAGATAAATAGATAAATAGATAAATAGATAAATAGATAAATAGATAAATAGAATAAATGGAAAAATAGAATAAATGCAAATATAGAAAAATAGTAAAATAGAAAAATAGATAAATAGATAAATAGATAGATAAATAGATAAATAGATAAATAGATAAATAGATAAATAGATAAATAGATAAATAGATAAATAGATAAATAGATAAATAGATAAATAGATAAATAGATAAATAGATAAATAGATAAATAGATAAATAGATAAATAGATAAATAGATAAATAGATAAATAGATAAATAGATAAATAGATAAATAGATAAATAGATAAATAGATAAATAGATAAATAGATAAATAGATAAATAGATAAATAGATAAATAGATAAATAGATAAATAGATAAATAGATAAATAGATAAATAGATAAATAGATAAATAGATAAATAGATAAATAGATAAATAGATAAATAGATAAATAGATAAATAGATAAATAGATAAATAGATAAATAGATAAATAGATAAATAGATAAATAGATAAATAGATAAATAGATAAATAGATAAATAGATAAATAGATAAATAGATAAATAGATAAATAGATAAATAGATAAATAGATAAATAGATAAATAGATAAATAGATAAATAGATAAATAGATAAATAGATAAATAGATAAATAGATAAATAGATAAATAGATAAATAGATAAATAGATAAATAGATAAATAGATAAATAGATAAATAGATAAATAGATAAATAGATAAATAGATAAATAGATAAATAGATAAATAGATAAATAGATAAATAGATAAATAGATAAATAGATAAATAGATAAATAGATAAATAGATAAATAGATAAATAGATAAATAGATAAATAGATAAATAGATAAATAGATAAATAGATAAATAGATAAATAGATAAATAGATAAATAGATAAATAGATAAATAGATAAATAGATAAATAGATAAATAGATAAATAGATAAATAGATAAATAGATAAATAGATAAATAGATAAATAGATAAATAGATAAATAGATAAATAGATAAATAGATAAATAGATAAATAGATAAATAGATAAATAGATAAATAGATAAATAGATAAATAGATAAATAGATAAATAGATAAATAGATAAATAGATAAATAGATAAATAGATAAATAGATAAATAGATAAATAGATAAATAGATAAATAGATAAATAGATAAATAGATAAATAGATAAATAGATAAATAGATAAATAGATAAATAGATAAATAGATAAATAGATAAATAGATAAATAGATAAATAGATAAATAGATAAATAGATAAATAGATAAATAGATAAATAGATAAATAGATAAATAGATAAATAGATAAATAGATAAATAGATAAATAGATAAATAGATAAATAGATAAATAGATAAATAGATAAATAGATAAATAGATAAATAGATAAATAGATAAATAGATAAATAGATAAATAGATAAATAGATAAATAGATAAATAGATAAATAGATAAATAGATAAATAGATAAATAGATAAATAGATAAATAGATAAATAGATAAATAGATAAATAGATAAATAGATAAATAGATAAATAGATAAATAGATAAATAGATAAATAGATAAATAGATAAATAGATAAATAGATAAATAGATAAATAGATAAATAGATAAATAGATAAATAGATAAATAGATAAATAGATAAATAGATAAATAGATAAATAGATAAATAGATAAATAGATAAATAGATAAATAGATAAATAGATAAATAGATAAATAGATAAATAGATAAATAGATAAATAGATAAATAGATAAATAGATAAATAGATAAATAGATAAATAGATAAATAGATAAATAGATAAATAGATAAATAGATAAATAGATAAATAGATAAATAGATAAATAGATAAATAGATAAATAGATAAATAGATAAATAGATAAATAGATAAATAGATAAATAGATAAATAGATAAATAGATAAATAGATAAATAGATAAATAGATAAATAGATAAATAGATAAATAGATAAATAGATAAATAGATAAATAGATAAATAGATAAATAGATAAATAGATAAATAGATAAATAGATAAATAGATAAATAGATAAATAGATAAATAGATAAATAGATAAATAGATAAATAGATAAATAGATAAATAGATAAATAGATAAATAGATAAATAGATAAATAGATAAATAGATAAATAGATAAATAGATAAATAGATAAATAGATAAATAGATAAATAGATAAATAGATAAATAGATAAATAGATAAATAGATAAATAGATAAATAGATAAATAGATAAATAGATAAATAGATAAATAGATAAATAGATAAATAGATAAATAGATAAATAGATAAATAGATAAATAGATAAATAGATAAATAGATAAATAGATAAATAGATAAATAGATAAATAGATAAATAGATAAATAGATAAATAGATAAATAGATAAATAGATAAATAGATAAATAGATAAATAGATAAATAGATAAATAGATAAATAGATAAATAGATAAATAGATAAATAGATAAATAGATAAATAGATAAATAGATAAATAGATAAATAGATAAATAGATAAATAGATAAATAGATAAATAGATAAATAGATAAATAGATAAATAGATAAATAGATAAATAGATAAATAGATAAATAGATAAATAGATAAATAGATAAATAGATAAATAGATAAATAGATAAATAGATAAATAGATAAATAGATAAATAGATAAATAGATAAATAGATAAATAGATAAATAGATAAATAGATAAATAGATAAATAGATAAATAGATAAATAGATACATAGATACATAGATACATAGATACATAGATAAATAGATAAATAGATAAATAGATAAATAGATAAATAGATAAATAGATAAATAGATAAATAGACAAATAGACAAATAGACAAATAGATAAATAGATAAATAGATAAATAGATAAATAGATAAATAGATAAATAGATAAATAGATAAATAGATAAATAGATAAATAGATAAATAGATAAATAGATAAATAGATAAATAGATAAATAGATAAATAGATAAATAGATAAATAGATAAATAGATAAATAGATAAATAGATAAATAGATAAATAGATAAATAGATAAATAGATAAATAGATAAATAGATAAATAGATAAATAGATAAATAGATAAATAGATAAATAGATAAATAGATAAATAGATAAATAGATAAATAGATAAATAGATAAATAGATAAATAGATAAATAGATAAATAGATAAATAGATAAATAGATAAATAGATAAATAGATAAATAGATAAATAGATAAATAGATAAATAGATAAATAGATAAATAGATAAATAGATAAATAGATAAATAGATAAATAGATAAATAGATAAATAGATAAATAGATAAATAGATAAATAGATAAATAGATAAATAGATAAATAGATAAATAGATAAATAGATAAATAGATAAATAGATAAATAGATAAATAGATAAATAGATAAATAGATAAATAGATAAATAGATAAATAGAT